GCTCCTTCCCTCCCAGCCCTCCCCACCCCCATCCCTACAGGTCCACTGTGCTCCATTCTTCCCCTTTTCAGGGCACCTGCTCTCTGGCCCCCGGCAGTGTGCATCTAGCTGAGTGTGGGGACAGGGTCCAGTGTGACAGGGAAGGCTCATCTGGGACTTGCAGGGGGCAGCCTGGATCCCTGTGAAACTGCGGGAACAGGCAGGCTTGGGGCTGGGCCTCAGGAGAGGCGTCCAGACAGGATCTGGGAGAAGCAGGCAGAGGGTGGCTGGTTGAGCCTGCTGTCCAGCCACCCTGCCAGCTACCCTTCTGCCTCCCTTGGATTAAAAATTTAAGTGATGTCAACGGCTGGCTGTGCAATGTGAAGGTGCAATAATTTAATCCCTCCTTTTTATAAAAGAAAGATTTCTCCCTCTCCTTGAAGTCGACTATTTGAAGGTGAACAAGAAATGGCGTGAATTAAAAAATGAAATCTCTCATTCCCCCATGGAAACCACAGCACGGCCAGTATTTCCATGTGCTTCCTCCTGAGTTTATTTATATGCATAGATTTGTTAAATGTTGCAGCATTTACTCAGGTAATTTTGTGTCCAGTTCTTTCCGTTGGCGTTTAAGTGTTTTTCACATTGTCATTCGAACGATGACAGGGTGTGAGGCTGCTCCTGCTGGACACGGTTATTTCCAGTTTTGGCCACGGTGACACTGTGACACTGTCTGCAGTCTTCATAATTGAAATTAATTCTTTAGGATAGATGCCACTGGAATTACCGGATGATTTAAAATGTTTTCAGACTCTCATATTGTTCTTTTGAAATTCAAATGAAAACCCACACACCCGGTGGCCTGAAGTGTGCTTTGATCTCTGCGGCTACTCCGGGGTTTGAGGCAAATGGGTGGAGTGGGGTCTGCGTCTTGGTCTGGGGCCATGGACGTGGCCCACCTTGGGTCTGTGCCCACGTGTGGTCAGTCAGGGAGGACAGCTGGCCTGCGTGTGGACTGTGGACCCAAGGCCTGGTGCTGGCAGTGGGCTGGTGGGGTGTTGTCACCTGTGGGAGGTGTGATGGCCTGTGTCCCTCTCCTGGGGCTCGCTCTGTCACCACTCTTTTTTCCTCACTGCTGTCCTGGGAGCTGGGAGTTGGACCTGCCTCTGGGCTGAGGCTGAGGGGATGGCTGGCTCAGACAGGAGCAATGGCCTGTCCCTCCCACCCGATGCCCAGCGAGTACACTGAGGCTCGTTGGTAGGTCGGCTGACTCCGTGCCAGTCTCTGACTCCACCTGTCAGATGTAGAAGGAAATGCGGGCAGCTCCTGACCGCCACCCCATGGGAATGGCCGAGAGGCAGCACCGTCCCCAGTAGCCTGGAGACTGTGGGTGGACAGTGCGCCTGCCACCCGAAGGCTCTGTGGCTGTGCGGGGCTGTGTGAGTTAGGGACCCCCCAGGCTCAGCTGGCAGTCTCTTTCCTGAGCACAGGGCTCCGCCTGGACCCACGATCCCGTGGTGGGGGCTTCGGGGAGCAGGGCGGCTGGTGTGCAGCTGCAGCCAAAGCCTGGGCAGTCGTGGAGCGTCCCAGAGTGAGGCTTGACCAAGAACCGCGTCTTCTTTCTGGAAGCTTCTGCTAGCTTTTGTCAACGGTGTGGTGCTCGGAGCCACCAGGCGTGGGGCCCTGAGCCCTAGCCTTCGGGGTGGTGGTGGACCTGGGTGCTGAGGAGAGGGGCTAGAACACTGGGCCCTGGGCCCCTCTGCTCGACCACCAGCCAGTGGCCTCGTCTGGAAAATGGGACAATGCCTGCTGGACCCTTGCCAGGCGCAGGAGCTGCCATGTATCACATGGGTGGGGGGTGGGTCCTCCCTCCCCACCTAGGGGGAGACCACGCTGGGCCTCCCGGTCTTAACTTGTACAGATGAGAGAGCTGGGAGGGCTTTGGAGTCTGTCTTGTCCCTTGGTTCCCAGTTGGTGTTCTGGGGAACCCTCCTGCTAATAGCGTGCAGAGGACACACAGGGTTGGGGAGCCCTGGCTGTACCCCTGTTTCCTCCCTGTGTCCAGCACACCCTGAACAGTGAGGCCTTTCCCATCGGCCTGTTTGCCTGGGTGGAATGTGGGAAGGGACTTGGGAACTGCTTATCAATTTGGGGTCACTGATGAGTAATTGAGGCTGCGGGCAGGCAGGGGCGCTGTCTGTAGTGACCACGGGCCAAAGAAGGGGAGAGCAAGGCCTTTTTCCAGCCGCAGCCAGAGACTGATGCCCCGGCAGAGGGTCTTCCCAGTGCCGGGTGTGCGCAGGGGTCCCAGTGGGGCGGCCTCTGGAGTCCCTGCCTGGCGTCTGATCTCACCTCCATGTCGCGTGCACTGTGCTGTGGACAAGCCACTTTACCTCTCTGATCCCTGACTCCTTGGCGGTCCGAGGGAGCCCCCCGCAGCGGGGGTGAGGCAACGCCAGTGTGGGGAGCAGCCGGCCCTCACAGGGCTGGCTCCCCAGCAGAGCTGGCCCATGGTCACCGGTGTCATCCCTGGAGCTTGTGTGGGCTGGCCTGGCTGGGAGCCACTCCTCTCAGGCTCCGAATTCCTGAGAGGTGACTGGTGTGGATGGAGTGGGAGGAGCTGGCTCTGCTGTTCCCCCGAAGTGACTGGGTAGGGCTGGCCACCTCCATTCCTGCCCAGGGTTGGGCCCAGTACTTAAAAAAATGCAGATGCTCCCTGGCCTGGCCAGGGCTGGCTGGCTGGGGCTCCTGAGGGTCCTTCCTTGTGCTCAGGAAACAAAGAGGCAGGTTGAGGGGCACACGGCACCTCTGCAGGAAGCTGCCTCATAACTGGGGCAGCCTCCGGATGCGGCCCTGCTGATAGGCAGGAGCTCTTGGGGCCTGGGCCATGCTCTGCTGCAGGAAGGTCACGACATTCTGGGGAGAGGGCTGCCCCAGTCCTGCAGGGCACCAATGGGGGACAGTCATGTCATTTGTGAGGTTGCCAGGCTCACCAAGTAGTGCCATGGGGTTGGGCAGATGCTTCATTATTCCCACGGGGCATGCGTGGCAGTCTAGCTTGCCCTCCGGCAGCACCCAAGCCACTTTTGCCCACCCAGGAATGTGAAAAGGCCAGTGGGGTCTGTTCCCTGGGTCCCTGCGTCCCCTGAGGCTGTGGTTGTGAGGCATTTTGGAACTGGCATAAGTTGAAGGCCTGGTGCCTTCTGAGATAAAGGGTCAGTGGTGTGACCTGGGAAGACCCTGTGTCCTGCTGGGGAGCAGTGACTGGCCTCGGGGTGCATGGGGTCCAGGCTGGCATCTGGGCCGTGTGAGCTCTGGAGAGATGCTCATGTGGACAAGAGGCGCACAGATGGTCCCTTACTAGGTGGCTACTGACCACCCTGGGGGAGGTGGCCTGTGATGTCTGACTCCCTCCTTGCCCCCCTGCGCTAACCTTCCCTGCCCTGAGTTCCACCTCCCTCCCCCGGCCCCTCTGCCTTGGGTTGCCCCTTGGCCCCCACCCAGGTAGGCTCCTTCCTCGCTGGTTGGCCTGCAGCGACTCTGTCATCACCTTCCTCCTCTGACTGTGGGGCTGTGGCGGGGCCAGGCTCTGGGTGGCAGGGTGGGGAGTTTCCTGATATGATTGTAAAAGGGGGCCAGTGTGGTGAGGGAGGGTGCATCTCACCCCCTGCTGCATTCAGAAACTGGGGACGTGGTTGGGGTGTGTCACTGGCCTGGTTGCCGACAGCTCTCATTGGTGAGAGTCCTGCAGGGAAGCTTGGGTGCTGCCGGAGGGCTGCACCTGTGCCCGCTGCACACATTATTTGTAGAATTCTGTGCATCGGGCATGGTGCAGCAGGGCAGGTGGGTCCCAGGTGCTGAGCGGGCAGGATTAGGAGCCTCAGTTTCCCCACCTGGACCCCAGGCCCTGGGGTGGGCTGCCCCTGGGGTGGGCTGCCCATGGGTGTGAGGGACTTAGCAGGGGTGTTTATGAGGACGTTTTTGGACCTGGAGCATTGCCGAGGCTGAAGGAATCAGCCCAGGACAAGCTGGGGAAGGAGCCCTTCTCTTTCTGCCCAGGGAGGGTGGGGAGGGAGCTCTCCCACTGGAGACCGAGGCTGATGGTTCCTGTGCCCCTTTGTATTGTTACAGATCCCTCGTCCACCTACATCCGACAGCTGGAGACCAAGGTGAAGCTGCTGGAGGGTGACAAGCTCCTCACGCAGGTAGGCTGGCTGTGGGCGGAACGCAGGGGTGTACGTACTGCGTCCCGGGGGGCCAGTGTGAGCCTTCCACCCACCCAC